ATTATAGTTCTTACATTCATTCTGGCTTAAGAACAATGAGAAGGACAACAAAGGCAATTGCAATGAGGGAATGAGTAGTAAAAAGATTAGCAAAATATTATTTCTGTTAAAAACAAAAGTCAAAATTAGGGACACTTTTTAAATATTAAAAACTCTTGCTTAAAAATGGAAAAATAAGAAATTCTAACTTGACACTACCCCATACCCACACCCGATTCCGCAATTCTGGGATTTGTTGAGAAAAGCAAAAGGGAATTGCGGGGAAAAGGGAAATGAAAGAGAAAGATAGAGAATAAGCATGACACCATGGACTGTCAGAAAAGTTAGGAAGGTTAACTGGGAGAAAGCTCTAGAGGGGATCGCAGAATGCTAGAGCCAGAGGAAAATAAATATTACCTGGTTAATCCAATCCTCTCATTTGACAGATGGAGATACTGAGTATGAGAGAGAATTAAGGGACTTGCCAAAGTCTCGCAATGAGTTAGTGACTGTCAGAGTTAAAACCCAAGTGTCCTGATTTCCTGGTCTGTGTTCTTTCCATTACTCCTTACTCCAGTTGTGTTGAATGAGATGGATAAGTCACAACACCAGTATTTTATTTGGTTGTAAACCTTCTTCTTGCTTTCCTCAACACTCAACCTCCTATATATTATTTAAGTCTGCTTTAAATTGCTCAGTTTCCTTCTACTCCAAGAGCATCTCTGGCCTCAATGGTGTGTGATCTATTTATGCTTACTTCGCAGAATTGTTTTCCAGCTCCATTACTGGATGTTCCCGTGACTATAGCTGTGAGCTCAGAACGGCCGCGACTTCCTCTGAATAGATTTGTGTGTTCCAAGGACAGGGCCTCATCCTGTTACACCATCCTCACAAGGACTGCATGGCTCACGCTCCCGAGGTAAGTACTTAAACATAAGGCTTAATGTGGTCACAGGGGACCAGCCATGCGAGGGCAAGTCTCTGCTGTTTTCAAGAAATCTTATACAGGATATGTCTAATCTCTGCTTCTAAAGTGTTATTGAAGAAGGTGAATTGTTAATAAAAACAAAGCATATCTGCTTTGCTTTGCCAAGAAGAAAATGTTTTTAAAGGAGTCCATGTGTGAATCAGTTAATCCCTAGCTAAGCAAACCTGTATAGTAATAATAACAGCTACCTGTTAGCCAGCACTTACTATGTGCCAGGCATTTCATGCATTTTTAACCCTCACACAATCTTGTGTAATAGGTATTATTACTCCCATTTTACAGCTTGGCTCAAAGAGGTTAACTAACTTGCCCACAGTCCCATAGCTAAAAACTTGCACAACAGATTTGAACCTAGGATAGATTCACTCCAGAGTCTATATTTCTTCACTCCTAAATTTCTCATGCCCTGGTGCTTTTTCCCTTTCTCCCACCACAACATAGCTTTGCCTAACAACTCTTCGCAGATTGTGAGCCTCACCATTTTAACTAAGGGCTCTCTGGGCTCTCACTTGCAGAGCCAACATCATCTTTTCTCCCAAGAAAAGTTGAGTCAAAACACATGCATGTGACCCTTGAGTATATAATTTGGTAATCATTCTCCCATAGATTTAGCACTGGCCCAAGAATTTTGGCCAGGAGTGGAGATGATATAAAAAGACAAAGAAGTAGCTAGTCAAAAGCATGGTAAACCCAGGGACCCACCAACCCTGCCCCCCAGACTAAATATATAAATCGTGGTCAATAGTCTCTTCTCCCTCCTGTTACCAAACTAGGCTCATTTTGCCCACCACATGATAAGCATGACACCATGGACTGTCAGAAAAGTTAGGAGGGTTAACTGGGAGAAAGCTCTGGAGTGGATTGCAGAATGCCAATCACCAAATGACAGGTTTGCAGCAGAGAGAGTGTTTAGTTCACAAGGCAGCCAAGCAAGGAGATGGGAGAACAAATCTTAAATCTACCTCTCTGAAAGATGGGGATTAGGTATATTTATGGGATAGAGGGATGGGGTGGTCTGAAGTGTGGGGATAGATGATTGGAGGTAAGGAGAAGTGAGGTAATTGATGATCTGCACAAAGGTAGTCAAGCTTAATGGCTATTCATAGGACGCATGTTCAAAAATGTTGGCGTTACCATGATCTGAGGGTGGAGTTTTCAGCTCCTTGAAGTCAAAGGGTCACCTATCGGTCATCCAAGAAGGCCCAGTTGATGAGTTGGTGGTCTTAACCAGCCTGAACTGGACAAGGATTCGACTCTCAGTTCCTGAAAAATTCAAGCACCCATTACCATGATGACCTAAGCGTCAGAGATGTTGTCTGTAGGTGGGTTTTAGTAATGCATTATCTAACTGCTTTTGCAAACAGACAACTGAGTATAGTTAAAGCAGGTTAGCCCCCAGTTTCACTCCTGCCTCAGCCAGATGGAATTCAAATATTTCATCCTCATCATTTCATTCCTCTTCTCACAGATGTACATACCTGATATGATCTTGTACAGCCCGGAACCACCTGACTAGCATGTGGAACCCAAGAAGCATTCTGCAAATATTGTTTTCAATGAATAAATGAACTAATGAACTTTTGCTCTCTTCTGTAATAACAATAAATATAATATCTGACATTGTGTGTGTCAGGCTCTATGCTAAACTCTTTATATGCATATCTTATTATATGCTACCCTGTAGGTAGATACTCTTACTATCAGAAGGAGTGAGGGAGCTCTCCTCGGTCTCTTTTATAAGGTCACTAATCCCATTACCTCCCAAAGGCCCCACCTCCTAATTTTACATTTGATACTGTGGCTTAGAAAGGATAAGTGACTTCCTCGAGGTCACATAGTGGGTGGCCATTCTGGAATCAAAACTAGATCTGATTTCAGACCCAATTTTCTTAACCACTACACTCTACAACTTCCCTTCTATTTTAATTATTATTAATAATAATCACTGCTTCAGTGTATTTAGCACTTATCATGATCCAGGCACCGTGCTAAGTATTTTACATTATTAGAGTCATTTAATCCCAAAAAAACTCATTTATGCCTGTTAGTATGTATTATTTCCTCCATTTCCCTATGTGAACTTGGTAAATTACTAGGAACAATCATAATTTGCAAGGTTTATGCGATAATTCTAGAAACTATATGTAAATCAAGCACAGTGCCTGTGTATGTATATCCTGGAAACAAAATGCACGTGGCCCATCCTGAAATCACCTTTGCATGAATTCAGTTTAATTTATTGAACATTATTAGGAGAAGCAATTAATTTACAAGGCAGTATCTTAGGCAGAAACAGCATACACCCAAATGCTGATCAAAATGACTGTTTTGTTTCGGGGGCCAAAAAATGCTCAGAGACGGAGACTGTCTTTGCCAAGAGTTTATTTAACACAGGTTCACTGTGGCATTTATAATAGTTTCACAAGCCACTAGCATACAAGATAATGTCTTTTGATAAGCCAATAAAGAAAAAGCATAATATACTCCAAACCAATGATAGATTAATCACATTATTATTCCAGGCGAGGGATGATGAAAGGAATAAAGTCCAAATTTAGTTCAAGGTGTACCTTTGTACATGAGTAGGCACTCGGGAGAGGCGGCTAGGCCAACTGAGAGCTGACTTCCAGCTGCCAGGGCAAAAGTGACAAGTCCCCTGTTGCTAGAGCATGTTGCTAGGGAACAACAGCACTGGTGTTGACAGCAGGATAGGCTGCTCCTAAAGTTATCACTTCAAGGACTGTCAGGTGTCCCTTCTCTTCCTGAGACTGCTGCACCATTTAACACCACTGCTGACCAAAGAGTTGCCTTGGCCAAAGCCAGAGCAAGTGTCTCAAGATCTTCCGAGAGCTATTTAGATCAGCAAAGAGTCACCTTGCCCAGACAGAACACTCTCGAATAATTCTCACAAACTCTCAGTATTTATACTGAGTCTCTCTGAATGTCCCCTTGTCATAGTTGCTTCTCCAGTTGTTCTTACTGATAAGCCCCTAGCAGGGCCCCTCAGCAGCTGGGCTACTGACTTCTTTATTGACGACAACAGATGAGATGACATCCTGACACAATTTACTTCATTCTTATATCAAAACAACAGCTTTTTTTGTCTTTGTCGTAAACAAGTGAATTAAAACAACTTAAGTCATAAGCAAGTGTATTTGAAAACATATTAAACCAATACACAACAATGCCTCAGATCCCTTTCAACCTGAGCTAGCTGGAAGCAGCTCTTTTACAGTGAACACTGGTCAGTTTTCAAAAGGAAGGAACAGGGTCTCTCCGGAGCACAGCCTAGGAAGGTGGATGTGGTCAGGGTGCCTCCAAGGAATGGTTCCAACAGCCCAATTATAAGCAGGAGTGTATTTTCCCAATCAAAAATCAGCACACGTGGCTTAAGAAGGGGGTTGACTTTTTAAACTGAGGTATGAGATAAATACAACCTTATATGTAATCTTAAGTGTATGCTAAGTGATTTCTTAACATATGGATACACCCCTGTAACTCCACCCAGATTAAGATGTGGAATATTTCCAGCACCCCATAAGGTTCCCTATACCCAGAGTGGTTTATAATCAACAAAGAAAAAACATTTAAAATCAGAACTGAAAACCAGAAAGCAGGTAAGGAACTTCGAAAGCTGAGCAACTGAAAGGCTGGATTTGGGGGAGACTATAGGTAAGAATAAGACAAACCTGACTTTTATCTTCTTTTAATAATGGGTGTAGAGTGCTTCTGTGCATTCACATTCAGTATGTCCGTCGATCCTCGCAAAGACTCTATGATATAGTAAACACAACCCTCTTTTACACCGTGAGGAAATGGAAACTTGTTCAGGATAACATCCCCACTCAAAGCAGGAAAGAGAGAGAATTGGATCTCTTGAATGTGTGCAGCAGATCCAGCCACGTGGCAGAAGGGAAGGCCTGGCGTCAGGTTACCAAGCAGCGCCGCTCCCGCCCGCCCACTGGCCGGCGTCCCAGGCCCCAGGTATAAAGGTTCCGGCCAGTTGTCTGTGAACAGTGCTACTGAACCCCGCCGTGCGCGCTTTGAACGTCCCAGGGGCTGCGCGCCTCTCCAGGTCGATGCCCCAAGCTGAATGGTGCAGAGACCCATCTCACTGGACCCCAGGTACATTAGGAGGGACCCATAGCCTTGCTTAACTCCCCCTGGGGCTCTCTGAGGCTCTTTGCGCCTAAAAAGGGAGAGCAAGTTATTATTATTGTTATTATTTGAGGGGATAACAATTATTATTTTAATTCCAGCTGAGGACTAGAGTGCAAGAATCCAAGGATTTAGGAAACGATTGCCCAAGCAAAGCGCCTCGTGGCATGGAGGAAAGTGAGACGAAAGTTAGAGGCCAACCTTTTGAATCTCCGCCTTAGGCGAGCAAAGGCGGATCCAGATTAAAGCAACAAGCCCCGAAGTAGTCGTAACTACGGAATAGAGACAGGACAAGAGAAGAACGATTGTTTTTCAATCACTGAAACATAATTTGCAATAGCAGGTGAGGGGCAGTTTGCCTTGTCCCGGGGGAGGCAGGAGGAAGCACACCAAAAGTAGAAGAAAAGAGAGAGGAATTGCTGCGCCCTGCAGGGCTCGGTCTGACGATCAGTGTGCGCTTGGGCGTTGCAGGCTGACCAGCTCCAGCAGAGGCTGGCCCGGATCCGGCACTTGCCGCCTGATGTGGTGCCTCGAGCGGCTCTGCTGGGGTCCCGAGCGCCTCCTACGGGGCGGAAATGGGTTTCTCCAGGGTCGACCCCGCAGAGCCAGGACCGTAACGCCCGCCGCGTGCGCAAACGTGCTCACCCCGGACCGCATCCCCGAGTTCTGCATCCCCCCGCGACTCGCGCCCTGCCCGGCCCTGGCTGCA